AATATCCTTCCATGCCAGTGAATAAATCATTCATTTAACAGGTATTCCATAGACTAGATGTACCATAATTTATTTAACCAAGTGGAAAGAACTGAAGAAAAAATTCAAACCTCAAGTGGCAGTGTTGAAGGATTCTTTGGGCATGATATTGGATGATCAGAAAGCATCAAAAGAATGGAAAGAACACATGAAGTTACTGTACTAAAAAAAAAACTGGTTGACGTTCAGCCATTTCAGGGAAAGCATATGATCAAGAACTGATGATATTGAAGAAAGATGTTCCAGGTGCACTGAAGACACTGGCAAAAACAAGACTTCAGGAAGTGATGAAATACCAATTGAGATGTTTCAACAGATGGATGCAATACTGTAAGTGCTCATCCATCAAGAAATTTGGAGGACTACCTGGCCAACCTCTCAGAGATCCATATTTATGCCCATTCCAAAGAAGGATGATCCAAAAGAATATAGAAATTATCAAACAGTATCATAATATCTCAGGCAGGTAAAATTTTGCTGACAGTAATTCAGAAGTGGTTGCAGCACTTCATGGACATGGAACTGCCAGAAATTCAAGCTGGACTCCGAAGATGAAATAGAATGAGGGATATCATTGCTGATGTCACATGGATCTTGCCTGAAGCAAAGAATACCAGAAAGATGTTTGCCTGTGTTTTATTGACTGAGACGTTCAACTGTGTGGATCATACAAACATTGCAAGGAATAGGAATTCCAGAACACTTAATTGTGTACGTGAGCAACCTGTGCATAGACCAGAAGGCTGTCATTTGAACAGAACAAGGGGATAAGATACTGTATGGTTTAAAATCAGGAACAGCATGTGTCCATGTTGTAGCCCTTTACCCTATTTATTAAATCTGTATGCTGAGCAACTAATCTGAAACAGACTATATGAAGAAGTACGTAGTATCAGAATTGGAGGAAGACTTAGTAACTGTCAGTGATATGCAGATGATTCAAACTTACTTGCTGAAAGCAAAGAAGACTTAAAGCACTAACGGATGAAGATCAAAGACTATAGCCTTCAGTATAGATTATGTCTCAAAATAGAGAAAACAAAAGGTCCTTACACCTGGACTAATAAGCAAGGTCATAATAAACAGAAAATACTGGAGTTGTCAAAGATTTCATGTTACTTGGATCCATAATCACTGTCTATGGAAGAAGCAATCAGTAAATCAAATGAAGTATTGCATTGGGCAAATATGCTGCAAAAGAACTCTTTAAAGTGTTAAAAAACAAAGATGTCATTTTGAAGACAAGGTGCACCTGGCCCAAGCCATGGTATTTTCAGTTGCCTCATAAGCATGTGAAAACTGGACAATGACTAAGGAAGACCAAAGAATAATTGATGCCTTCGAATTCTTGTGTTGGTGAAAAATGTTCAATATACCATGAACTACCAGAAAAATGAAGAAATCTTTCTTGGAAGAAGTACAGATAGAATGTTCCTGTACAATACAGAAGCAAAGGATGGTGAGACTTTGTCTTATGTACCTGGGACATGTTATTGGGGGACCATTCCTTAGAAAAGGATATCATGCTTGCTAGAGTGGCAGCAAAAAGAGGAAGACCTTCTGTGACATGGATTGACACAGAGGCTGTAACAGTGGGCTCAAACAGAGCAGTGATTGTGAGGATGATACAGGACTGGTCAATACTTTGTTCTGTTGTACATAGGGTTGGAGTTGACTAATGGCACATAATAACAACATTGTTGCTCACTTAAATTGTTTGTAATAAGTTTATTTAGGCAAAGGATTTTTAAGTAGTTGAGTTGGGAAGTCTGAAAATCTTTTGCTTCATTCTAAGAAAAAATTATTTTTTACCAATTCATTTCCTTCTTTTTTTCTGTAATACATTTTGGAACACTGTAGTCTAGAAGAGTTTAATAATAATAAGTTGTAGATTGATTGTGCTTTGGAGTAACGCTAAGTAGGGAAATCTTGTATATTTGGATGGAAAAACAGTTAAGAGCTGTGTTAGTAATATCCTAAATCATTGAAATGAGTAGAAACCAGTTTTTTCAAATAAGTTTGTGCTTTGAATTGAACATAAATTAAATGAGCTCAACATTGCTGCAACTGGTCCAAGGATACTGTATGCTACACTTCATATTTTCTCATTTTCAGAGAGAGTTGACACAGCTAATTAGTGATTATCCATGCGAAGGGAAAGGAACTTTAGCTTCAATATTTGAAAATAGCAAATGAGCCACTTTCCAGCTCAGGAATGTTGTGGTATCATTCCTTGCAATGAGAAAGTGGCTGCAGAGTTTGCTGTGAACTAGTCCATTTTGAAAACCTAGGAATCTTCTAGATTCCTTAGAGAAGCTTATAAAGCATGTTAATCAGCACGTAGTTAACAGTTTCCGTAGCTGGAGTGATCAAATGTCTGTCTGCCCAATCCATAAAACGAAATTAGGCAGTCCAGGATGTGAATTCAGTTGCTTGGTGAATTTTGGAATTTACTATTGAGCTAATTCTAACATGAACTGAAATTTCAACCTTAGGACTCCTGTAATTTCACTGTAAGTTCCTGACTACCATAAAAGTGAAATAATGCCACTTTGTTTTTATGTAAAATAGAAGAGTATTGGTCTCTGTTGTAAAAGTTTATTTCTGATATAAATGTGGACATTTATATTGGTTTCCTCCTTTTTTTTTTTAGCTTTATTGTCTGTCACAAGCCTCTGTTATATACTGTCACTCATCTCTGTTGTGCTGTTCTATGTGTACTTCACCAAACCGGACGGCTGCACAGAAAACAAGTTCTTCATCAGTATTAATCTGATCCTTTGCATTGTGGTTTCTGTCATATCAATTCATCCAAAAATTCAGGTATGGTTGTTTTAATTATTATAAAAGTGCTTAAATCATGAGAATAACTCTTTATGAGTCATTAGCCAAGATATTTTAGGGAAATCAACTTGAAAATATAATTGGTTTTAAAATTTCAAAACAAAGCTCATGCTCTTGTGTTTCATCTTTTAAATACTGTACTTTTTAAAATTCATAGAGTTTTAGATGTGAAGTGACTATCCAGATATCACCTCTCCTTTTAAAAATAGAAAACTGAAGTCCGGAAGAGGTGATGGGTCATCTAACAAGTTAGTGGCAAAGCTGGGCTTAGACTCTTCTACTAAGTATGATACACAGGAATCTCCAAGGTTCTGAAATGCCTTGAGAACCAATAGTGCATGCTTCCTCTTTCTTGGTTCTTAAGAAATTCCAAGGTTATTGGTTATATCATTCACCTGTCAAGCAGAACCAGAAGGCTCTCAGTTAATACCTGGTTTTAGAAAGTCGGTCTTTGCAGTCCCTGTGGCATTGCTTTCCTTTTGATTCCATAGGAACACCAGCCTCGTTCTGGCCTCCTGCAGTCCTCTATAATCACTCTCTACACAGTGTACCTCACGTGGTCAGCCATGTCCAATGAACCTGGTAAGTGAATCTCAAAGTACATTTATTTGATGTAAAGAAAATAGGAAGTTGCCCCTTTGGTGGGTGCTAAAACTAGTGCTAAAGCAGTGTTTTTTTTTTTTTTTTTTTT